AAACATTGTTAATTACGGTTTCCGTGTTTAATAGTGTGTTATTTACTGAATTTCACGAGTGAAAATAATGTGTTTGGCTTCGGCAAATTTTAAAAATCAGCGAAAATATTTTTTTCGCAGCCACTACACTCACAAAAAACTCCTGGACCTGCGAAACAAGAATTCCGGGCCGATACATTTCCGCTTTTTCTGGAACCGCAACCAATTTCTGCAGTCGCCGCGAACTCTACAATTACGTATGAAAGTTTGAGCTAGCGACGATTCCGGGGACCGGAGTCGCAGGAGCAAAAATGGCGATGGCGTGCACATGGACGGTCGGTGGGTGGAGTCGAGCCAAATATGGGCAATTTTGCTGCAGTTGGTATCATTGTCGTTTGTTGTTTAAACCAACAACGACCGGACTGAGGAAAGGTGTTGATTTAACCTCCTTCCACGCTCGCGAGACGGGTTTTATTAAAATTTTACGGTATTTTAATGGATTTTCGAGACATCGGATGTCGTAAAATCATCTTAATTTGCAAGTCAAATTCAATTATTTATTTTCAAAATAAAACATGGATAGAAAAAAACATGACTTTATCTTGATAACAATAGTCGCGGAGGAATAACAACTACTTGTGGCAAGTTCTTAAAAAAATATGTAGCTTTTATTTATTGATACTTAGACGAGAGATTCATATTTAAGGGTCAAAAATCAATGTAGACGCCTACATTGACAAATTTATTTATAAGCTGTGGTCGTAAGGATTATTTTTACATAGCGGTTTAATCCCGGAGAATTTTAGTTAAAATTCTTGGCTTACAATTAACCACGCAATTTCTAAAAGTATTTTCAAGAAGTATTGTCCAAGTTTAAACGTAGAAAAATTAATGCAAAAACAATATAATTAGTTTCAAAATACGTAAAATTGTTAAATCGTTAATGCAGCTTCTAATACAATTGCAAAGAATAAAGGTTATATCTCAAAAACTGACGAAAAAATAAAAGTAAAAGAGAATGACCCACTTGCTCGTCCTTTTAAAAACTTACTTATTTCATTATACTTATTCAAAAAAAAAAGTAAAAACTGGTTTCAATTTCTCTAATAAACAAATATATAACATTAAATGCTACCTTTAACTAGCCTATTCAGGCACGACTTGATCGGAAGTTGACAATAATTAAAATTCGAACAGGAATTTTAAATGTCTTGTTTTAATTATTCAAATTAATTTCCATATTAATACCACATTTTATGTTAATGTCTTCATAAGGTATTTAAAATTGACACAAACAAGCTAAAAGAATGGGCTTTGGTCGAGTAAATAAAAAAGTCAAGTTAAAAGAACTGTTTACACAATACACAAAATAGTTTACGTATTTTAGTCCGATTATTATTATAACTGGTGGTAAATTTTGAACTACTTATATTTGAATCACGTCAAATTATATGATTATTCTAATTTAGAGCGTTTAATTGTGTATGGACTAGCATGATTGTTTTTAAAGGAGTGAACTCTAAAACTTGTGTTTCTTAAATTTATTGGTAAATGTAGCTGTAGACCTTAGTTTCAGAGATAATTACTAATAACAACAAACTTGCGTAAAACTTAAGTAACTCAAAACACTTCAACACAATTGCAATTTTTAGACAACTGTGTCATTTCCAAAATAGTCGCCAATGAACCAACAGACGACATACGGAAACGACAGACCGACAGACGGACTATTACAAAATGCTTCCTTTAACTTTCGCTCAAGAAGTAAAAATTATTTGAACACTCAATACAGCTAAACAACAAAATTAAACGAAACTATTTCGAATTAATAAGGTTTTGAAGATTTTTACTTTTTACTTCCTACAGATAATAGATTATTGTAAAATTTTATGTGTATTAGAAATATCGTAACTAAAATTTGGATAATCATCCCCAACGACAATAAAATGACGTCATCCCCAAAATTTACATTTGTAAATATTATTATTATTTTATTGAATATGATATTCCTGCACATGTGGTTTATGAAACCGTGTTGAGTTTTTAATCTAGACATCCAAATTTTTGGGAAAAAATCAAAATTGTATAACAGATTGCAAATCCAATGCTCTAAAAGTTAAGTTATCGTAAGAATGGTAAATAAGTAATCAAAATTTTTCGTTTATGCCCTCTCAAAAAAGTGATGACGTAATTTTACTATTTGGTCGAAAAAATGTTCTTTCAATTTTATGGAACTACTCAGTCCTGCATGTGTGATTTATGAATCCGTGTTGGGTTTTTACCCTAGATATAAAAAATTTTGGGAAAAAATTCAAAACTTGTATTTTCAATTTAACTTTGAAATCGCAATACCAGTCTGAAGCCATTTTGCAATAGCCGCAGAACACGAGAAAATAATTTCCAAAAATTTTCCAAAATAATGCTAAAAATGTCCCTATTCCAACAGAAATAACTACTCACTCATAGGAAATGTTCAGTGGATTATCGACTTAAAGTCATTTTCGTGACAATTTGTTAAATAATTGTGGACAACGGGAAAAATAATTTCCAAAATATTTTAAAATGGGTTTTATGTGAATTGAAACAGTTGCTGGCTTATTGAGAATTTTATGCAAATTAACAATCTGAAGCAATTTTCGCACAAGATCTTCAAATAACCGCGAAAAACGGTAAAATAATTTAATTATTCATTATTATTAATATGTATATTATTATCTTGGCAAATACTAACACCGCCCACCCACCCTTTATTTTCTTAGAGGGTATGTAATTCGCCAACATCAGTCTCATCTTAGCAAGTACTAGCTCCGCCCATCCGCGCTTTATTTTCTAAAAGGGTATGTCATTCGCCAACATCAGTCTTATGTTAATAAAATAAATACTAGCCCCGCCCACCCGCCCTCTATTTTCTTAGAAGGTATGCTATTTGCCAAAATCAGTCTTATCTTAGCAACTATCGCTCTGAAAATTGCAAGACTTTTTAATAAAAATTGTTTTCGTTTATATCCCCCTAAAAAATGATGACGTCATTTGACAATTTTGCCGAATAAATGTTCTTTAAATTATATGTATGTATGGATCCGTATTGAGTTTTTACCCTTGAAATACAGATTTTTGTGAAAAAAATTAAAATTGTATAACTAGGTTTTATAATAATTTAACTTGAAATTATAAAAACCGAATGCTGCGAAATCTTGCAAATATTTTAAGGCTATTGACAATACTTATGGTAAATTATTAATCAAATTTTGCCGTCATCCTACAATTTTACCGACAAAGTGTTCTTCAAATTTTTGAGTGTTTTTGGAAAAAAAGGAGTGACGTGTTTGATTAATTAATCAGTCCTGTCTGCGTTTCATTTTCTTTTAACCGCACATGCTTATAATCTGAACGTGCTAATAGTCGAATTCTTTTGAAGTATAAATGTAATCAGTTGGAGTACTAAGAAATTGGTTACATTTTTCCAGTTACTTAAAAACAAAGAAAAAAAAATCGCAGAGTCAAATTTTATCATTTTTTAACAAAGCGGCATTTTTCGAACTGTACTTCAAAGACGAGCGAAGTTCTGTCGAAATAACCTTTGACTAATTTTTTAATAATATTTCTAGGCTGTGAAGATAAATGAAATTTTGACTTAAAATGCTGCCATCAATTAAAATTATAAAAGCGGCAAACAAAAATTCTGGAAGTTATTTTGAAACCACTATTTTGTACTACTACTCGTTTTTTCATTTTTAAAATACACATAAAAAGTAAAATTACAATTAAACAAATGAAGGCGCTAAAATTTTCAAAACGTTCAATAAAATTTCAAATCAAAATCAAACTTATAATTTATCATTTACTGAACTTTCTAGAGTACCTACTTTTTAGTTAATCGTTTATTTTGTTTCCGAACTGAAAAAACGTACTCTAAATTGCAAAAGGCATTCGAGAGTAGTTTTTTTCAATTTTTCAATGTCGATGTGTTATGTTAAGTATATTTTTAATTTTGACAACTGTTGTTAATTTGTAAAGACCTGAAGATGGCCGAAACCGGTCACCAAAAAATAAATAAACCCGAATAATGAGTGTTTTAGAAAAGGAAATAAACGTACTGACTACAAACTTTCATAACAGGATGGTAATTATCAGCGATTTTCTAAAGTACCTTAAATAAAACAGTGTAATTTAATTATGTAATAACATGGCAAACGAAGCCGGTTACAAATTATAAAGTTGCTACAGTTAGGTCAGCCAAAATATGCATTGATGAAAAGTTCAAACGCAAGCAAATTATTCCATTAAATAACGGAGTTTTGGTTTTAACAAACATCAAGCCAGAAAAAAGAGAGTAATTACGTAATGTCTGAAAATGAATAAATACGTAATGTGCAATAAAATCTGTTCAGAATTTTATTTGCTAAAATGCTGTAAATAAAAACAGTATGTGGCTGAAAACGTTCGTCTAACTGAATAATTATTGTACAATTTAGACAGACTGCGCACAAACTTGATTTGTCATCTGTTGAAAATGATCGAAACTTGAAAAATCAAACAGTTTAAAAATGCATTGTGCCAATCCACTTCGATTTCAACAAAAGAACACATTTCACTCGCAATCCGCTGCCAACATATGTCGTAAATTTCAACCCAAGGAGCTAAAGATCAGATTTAAGCAGAGTCCCAAGCGACGTAATAAAATAAAAATCGGCAGACGCCGCCCGTAAAAATATCACTATCGTCTCGTATAAATCGTCGAATTTGATTTCAAGCCCATTCCGAGATAAATTTGATCGGTCGAAAAAGTGCCCACCATAAAAAGTCCCATCGAATTCCCGCAATCGTTAAATTGCGCCGTGCGCCTATCATTCCTCTCGAAATGAGCCGCAGCAGAAAACAATAGCACGTGCCGACTCTATATTTTTTTGCTCTTCTATCCCGTCCAAGCCCAGTAGCCAGTATTTTGCAACAATACACGACCCATATATGGAATGGTGCCCATGTATGGACCATGTATGGCGTTTGCTCGGCTCCGGTCGCCGCCGACCGACTCCGTGACTCATGGGGACTCTGAGGGACCCCAGTTCTTCGGCGATCGTCGCTCGTGCTTCTTGCGCTCCGTCCAAGACGTCCTGCAGCCGCCAAACGTAAGTACCGCCATTCTGCCTTCTCGCAAAAAACAAAAAACCTAACTTGGAGAATCGCATGCTGCTTTTTCGCTTTCGCCAAAATTTTTGCCGCGCCCTCCATGGAGGGCGATTTTCGAAAAAATACCAGTGTGTCGGTTGGGGTTCTTGGGGCGGCTGGGGGCAGCCGGCGGGTTCGACTTTCATGCCGAAAGGCGCAAAAAACGCAAAATCCCAACATATGTGATTCACACTTTTACAGAGAGCGCGGCGCTATTGCGTCCATCGACCCGGAGCCACCTGCTTGCGAAAAGGGCTGTAGCGGCGGCGGCGGCTCTTCTGGGCCCGAGATCGACCCATCTGGGGCTGTCGCCGGGCGAAAACAACCCCATGGACCCATCGCCGGCCCGAAAAAAGGGACAACTACCCCACAAGGGGGTGAAACGCGAACAGGTGTGACCTCCCGTTCCCCCACTCTCCCACAAAGCCAACTCGGTCAGCGCCAGCGTAGATGTCGAAAATCACGAGCGGACGGACTCAAAGGTAGTATCGCATGACATTTTGATATTTATGATAATTACGTGCCTTATTTTTGAATTGTCTCCCTTGGCTTCGGTGCGCGCTTTTCGTTTTCCGCGATTATCGGCCTAGTTGGACGCGAATTTATTCCGAGTATCGACAGTGTTTTATGTTCGGAGTCAATTACGAGCGTGCGTAATGTCTTGGTGTTAACAACAATCTTGGTTTTATGATGGAACGAAAATGAATGCAATCAAACGTTTTATGCTCTTGACGCCCCGGTGGTAAATTATCGCGTCGTATCGTTCGTTAAGCTGATTGCAAAATTACATACACGGTAATTTATAACTGACACGGGCCAATTAGTCATAGGCTGTCGAAAAAATAATATATGAAACTGGTGCTCCCGATGCTGCTGCGAGCGTTCCTCGGGTCTGAAATGTCTATTCATTAAATTTTTTATTACGAACGCCAACACAAAGACTGCGATCATTACATCTCGGCCAGCCCAACTAGACTCGGTTTATAAAATTTTTCGAGAAATTATAATATCGTCCAAACGAAAAAAATTGTTAACGTATTTTGAAACCAATAACTCCATTTTTTATCGCACTTGTAACTTTTAACTCATGTCTCTCATTTTATTTTCATTTCAAAAGGCAGTTTTTCTCATTTTTTCAATTTGGAACCGGACTTGTAACACTTTCAGAGAAAAAACGCCAATTCAATAATAAATTTTCAATTAATCAGACCCATGCGGGTTTAATTGGGTGGTATTAAGAAAGGCAGCAATAACTAAAGCACCGCGTCCTCAAATGAATTTAATTGTCTGTAATTTAGGCCGCATCCTAATTAAATTTTGCCGTGAATTTTATCTAAAGGGTGATTACGTAACGCTAAATTGATATTACACGAACGCGATCTATAATCTGTTTTACACCAATTATGCCAACTGAGAATTCGAAATTATTCTCTTTTGAAGCTATGTAGCAACATTTAATTTACAGCGATTTTGATTTTTTGTTTTCTCACCATATTCAAGATATTCCATTAATTATTTTAGTGAAAAGTAAAAAAATTTTGTCGTTCTGACTGTAACAAAATTTGTAAAATTAGTTTTGACTGGAGTTGTCATTTTTCAAAATTTGGCACTAAATCTGAAACCCGTGGTAATTAATCCACGATTTTTTTTCAATAAGTCAACGTCAAAGGTCTAAATACACTAGTCCGTTGTTGGCCGACCTGATTTGAATGGCTATAAATCATACAGATCGTTTTACGATATCTGTTTTTTCGACAGTGTAAACACTACAACGCATTCCGCGTTGATCGAGGCTTGACCCTAACAACGATTTATTGTACCCGGGCCGATCCGGCAGCTCCAAACTAGTGTAACTGTGCCTTAAGTTGGCCCTCGAACAAATCCCCCCGTTTGTTTAGTAATGCGATTTCATTACTCTTTACGACTGTGAGCTTTCAAGGATCAGCGCAACTTTTACCGAGGAGCGATTTTCCTCCATTAAATTTACTCGTCTAACCAAATCCCCGACGGATCTCGTTACATCTCGTTACCGTTTATTGCTCTACAAAGTAATTACAACATAGACTGGCCCGATCATTGCAAAACATTAAACAAACTCGCGTAGGACTAAACTTGAACCATTTCATCGAACATCTGCCCATGCGGTAATTTTTGAAATTCGATCCTCAATTAGTCGCTGAAAATATCCTGTGCATTTCGAGCGAAACTCGGCCAATTTTATGAATATTTAAATACCGAAATTGCGATATTTTTATGAATCGGCCAAAAATTATTTTCGATCAAGGTGATGGGGGCCAGCTGTTGGTAGTCGCGCTGGAGGCGTACACGACTTTTATCGAAAAATTAACTTTTCGCATTTAAATTAATAGAGTATTTACTTAAACATTTGCATGCGGGAGCTTACAGGTGTGGACTTTTTGATTTTGAGAGGAGAACGACGACGTTAATTGGAGAGATCGGTTCGAGAGCGACTAATTCCAGTAGCGGCACGATTATGCGCTAGATGGTGAATAATCAGTTGATTCCTGTTTTCTGTTGCAGACGTGGGCGACGCCCAAACACCGTTGGACATCAGGTGTGAAGAACTCGTCAAAGGAGCGTAACATCATTAAGTCGTAACGTTTAGTTTCTACGGTGCCATATTAAAGTTTAATGTATTGTATAGTTAGGCTAAGACGATTTCGGTAGCCGGAAAATAAAACGAGACGAGCGACCGGCTACAGATTTCAGATAGCGAACGATGTTTGATCGATGTCTGACTTTGATCTTTTATACTTTTAAATTTAAATCGCCTTTATCTCCCCGTTAGCTCCGCTAGGTATAGTCATATTTGTAATTATAATTTCGTATTGATGTATGATTGACAACTCTGATAATGTTACTTTAGTCTAAGATACTAATTACAAATTTTAATTAGGCGTTTGATAGTTTTTAAGTAGTCATAAATTTTGATGCTGCTCAATCTTGTACGATTAGGCTGAGACATGGCTTTAATAATTATGTACGGAACTCTTACCAATAAATCGATTAAGTGACAACCGTATTTTGTCCTTTTCCCATTCCCGTTTGTTTTCTCGTGTGCGATTTTTGCGAATCGAACGAGTACGGAGACAAGATCACAAAGTTGTCGAGTGATTAATTATCGACTAACATTTCACCGTAATGCATTAATTCATCGTGAGAAAATTATGACATTTCCTATATAGATCGATCTCATTTTTTCGTCGAGTCCAAGAGAGACAGATAACTCCGATACAAAAGGGCACATTACATTAAAAACATGTTTATTATCACATTTACGGAACAAGTACGATGCAATCGACACACTGGCATTACACAGTCAGTAAAATAATCTCGAAATTTTTCGCATGCCACTCTCCTTACAAAGAAAAAACATGCCAAGCAAAAAGTTTGCAACCCCGCATCATCTGTATACCACTCTCTCTATTACCATATGTATAAAACTGTCGAGGCACGTAGACAATACAAGGTTACAATATTTCGTATTCAGAAAATAACATGATTTATTTTGTATTAAAAACAAAAACCTAAAAATAAATAATAACAACCATAAATATCGATCTAAAAAAACATGCTTCCAATTAAAACTAACTAGTTACAATCGGTCCTAAGGCACACATTCAGTATTTTTAGTTTGCTTTATACATCACAAAATTAAGATAAATATTATATCGAATAAAACATAATATAAAATAATAAATACCTAACTTAAAATTATTTACCATTTTGAACAAGACGCTTATTCTACATGGACTAGATGATAATTAAAATTCATTATAGCTACAACGCCATAACATAACCTAAAATAATGTTCATGTTGTGTGAAAAATTTTCGTGCGATAATACAGATTCTGATGTTCAAAATGGCACTTAACGATTTAGCAAAAGGACAGTGCACAATGTGCGCCTTCGAAAACAGATCAACTTCGTTGGAATGTACAATTTAATACTTTACATAAAAATTAAATATTAAAACTTTGTACAAAATGAAAACATTAATAGAATTAGAGTTGTGACTCTGATGGTGTCTGATACGTAAATGAACGCTAAAAAGTCGCCACCCACCGACAAGGAAACTTGCGATTTTCTACAATTCTCTCGTCCCACCTGCGACACACTAATCCGAAAAACGGTGACTTTTGGGGAATTTTAACATCACCATAGATAATTAGATTCCGAGAAAATTCTCCTGTTGGCCGAGTAAATTCGAAATTTATGGCTTGTCTCGGTAATCAAGCTCGCCGTCGCGAAGGGAAAATTCTATAACTGAAAAAAAATTGCCCATTTTGTTACGCCAATCATCCGGGCGTCGAAACGAAAGAGGTCCTCAAATTAAAAGGCGGTTAACAACAAACATTGTACTGCCCATTGTTGACCTGCGGTTTTCATTGTCCGCGTTTCTGCCGCGTCACCTCGCCCGGACCATTATTTGATAATAGTAATAATGATGATAACAACGGGACTTTTTTCGCTCTTTTTTTCCCATACGCATTGTACGGCCGGATTTCAATCACCCCTAGGTGATGGTCTAGGCGCGTTCGCCCCATGTGTAGGTTCAAAAGTGAAATCTGGGATTTGCTGGGGGGGCCAACGACCTAAAAATAAGCAAGCCTCCAACGCAGATGGGTGCACCTCCCACACGCACACTTTTACTCGACCAATGGGATTTCGTAAATGTTTTAAATACAGGTGGGCTGTAATTGCTTTGCTAACATGATCTAATCGTAAACAAATAAAAACTGGACCTCAAAATCACCTGGACAATATTTACCAAATATATACAGAGAATCGCAAGTCGACCTCGGTCTGCCGTTCCGACGGAATTATAAATACCCTGAGATTAATCAGTTCGCATTGTACGCACTTCCTGGCCCTTCTTTCTCGTTTCGCGATACCCTTGAATAGATCAGAAACAAAAACACCCACGAGGGTGTGTGGGCTGATATGGGTTACACGGAAAACTTAATAATTACATTCATCTGGCCTTATTTAGGCATTTTACCAACAAAGGCTACGGCTGCAACGATTTCAAATTTCAAATCTATTCAACACGTCCCTGTCGGGATGCAAATAAGTCTGCGAGACAATGGTAAAACAAAGCAACAACTACAACACCATCATGCAAGACAAGACGCTAACGTAAGGGTCGCATACACACACATCCGTCGCTGGTCGAATTCTACCCAGAATCACTTCCACTACCTAGCTTTGCCCCTTTCAAAAAACACCTTATCTTACAGGTGTAAAATAAATTATACGATTCTTTGTGAATACAAAAGACCGCTTTGTCACCAGGAGCCCAAAAACCAACCACTGCACAAAACTGATTTCAAAATGGACCGGCAATGTATACAATTCAAAATTTGTCATTCTGGGGAAAGTTTACAAATTTCCCGTTTGACCAAGCTGCCAATTCTCTGTTTACAAGGCACGGACCACTCGCAGCACCTAGACTTCCGTTTCCGGACGCAGGAAGTAATGCCAATCGGTGTGGCAGGATAGGCACGCGCCATCTACCGTTAGGTAAAAATCCCGGTATTAGCTCCGGATTCCCGGAACAGCTGTTTAGAAATGGCACGCAAAAGTGGGTCTGAGGTGCAAGTGCCGAAAAATATCGCTTCCGGTACAGTTTAACAGTTCTTAACAATACAGTTGTCTAATAGTACTACCTGCAATTTAATGGAACGCATGGTTTCTTTGTTAAAAAATATTGGTATGAGGAATGAAATCCTTGTATTTTTCGAAATTGTCAAAAATACAATTTTTGAATTTCTTGAACTAAAAGTTTCAAATTTTGAACGATTTCATTTATTAAAACAAGATTTTTTTCTATCTACAGGTCAATCGTACCTTATTTACTTTCAATAACAGTCTTAAATATGGTCAGCAACTTAAAATAAAAATTCATGAGAACTATATAGAGCAGCGTATTTTGAAATTTAAGTCGTGTTAAAAGTTATATCTTAGAAGTTTTTTCGAGAGTTTATTTCTGATTTCAAAATAAAATGCAAAATTAAAACTCAAAAAATAGCACTTCAAATATCTACAATAGAATTATATTCATGTTAATAGTTCCTGACAAAAAATTTGTTCGCAAATAGTAACTTGACATAGAATAACTTCGCTGAGTAACTGCACGTACGAAATAAATACAAAATGTAACTTTTATTACGAGGTGCTATTTTTAAAACTAAATATTTACAAAAGGTATCTGATGACCCATTAAAAAATTAAGTTGAATGCATCACCAAAGAAACCTGACACAAAATTCAAAATTTCGGCTGGTTCATAGGATATCGACTAAGACTAAACACATTACGGATGTAATTAATTGTATATCAATTTTTAGTCATGTGTTTTGATATTTTTCTTATTACTTTTAGTAAAGTTTTGCAACTATCTATTATATTTACTACATATTTTTTAAATTTAAATTGATGTTATTCTAGAATTTGTATATATTTTTTTAATTTAGAGTTTATCTTTAGTTTATATCATTATACATATTTCGTTTCTTTTTTGTTATTTTAATTTATAAATTTTCGTAAGAAACCAGAAAAAATTTTTGGTTTTAGTAAAATCCATTTTTTGAAAAATTTAAAACGTACCAAATGTTTAAAGAATAAGTAAATGTGCAATCAGATTTTCCCTTTCACTTGTTCGTTTACGAATGATGCCATAGTACGATTCTATACAGGGTGTCCTAGTTAAGACTTCGCGGCCTTATATCTTGAGAATGGACATAGATATTGAAATTCTGTACATCATTATTTTTAGCTTGAGGGAGAAGCTTAATTTAGTACACATACTTCTGGCGCAAACTTATATTTTTTTAAAATTCCAACATATATTTCTTTTAACACAAAATTTAGATTTTTATTTCATTATCAGTTGATAAAAATTAAAATTTATGAACATAAAAAAATTAAAGTTGGGTGAAATCAAGGACTAACACCATTTTACAATGTCTTTATCCGTTCTCAAGATGTAAGGTGACGGAGTTTTAACTGGGACACCTGTATATTAGTAATTTCCACCTTTAAAATTTTCACTTGGTACAATTTAACTTGTCTTAAAAATTAATTATTACAATTTCTGATTTCTGAATGAAAGTTTTGTTGATTTAAATTTATTTTTCTGCTGCCCAATTTATCATGTTTGTTTTCATAAAAGCTAAATTTATCGGATTTTTGATACACGTTTAAATTGTGATTATAACGACGACAAAAACAACAAAATTTATAAACATTATAAACTGAAAGTTATCATTTTGCGACAGTTCGAACATGTGCTAAAATAACTGTTTTTGAAACAGATCTTGTTGATTATAAAATAAAGTGTGAGTGCTTTCCCTTTCAACATTTCTATTCGTTCTCAAGATACAGGGCCACGGAGTTTTAACTGGGACACCTGTATATTAATAATTTCTCAGTTTAAAATTTTCTTTTGGAACAATTTAACTTCTCTTAAAAAATTAATTATTATAATTTCTGAACGAAAGTTTTGCTGATTTAAATTTATTTTGCTGCTGTTCATCGAATGTGCACCATTTATCATGTTTGTTTTATAAAAGGTAAATTTATCGGATTTTGATAGACCGTTAAATTGTGATTCAAATACACAAAACTTGGATATTTATTTAATTTTCAGATGATAAAAATAAAATAAAATTTATAAACATTAAAAAATGAAAGTTGGGTGAAATCAGAGATTTAACATCATTTTCGACAGTTCGAACATGTAAAATAAATGTTTTTGAAATAGATCTTGTTCAATATAAAATAAACTGTTGGTGCTTTCCCCTTCAAGCTAAAAACAATGGCGTTTACAAAATTTTAAAGTCTCTATGCGTTCACAAAATATAGGGCCGCGGAATTTTAACTGGGACACCTGTATATTAAAATATAAATTCTCAGTTTAAAAATTAAGTTTCATACAATTTAACTTCACTTAAAAAATTAATTATTACAATTTCTGAAAGACAATTATGTTGATTTAAAACTATTTCCTGCTGTTC